CTGCAGTAAAAAAAAAAAAGGTGGTCGGGCACTGGGACAGGCTCCCCAGGGCAGTGGTCATGGCACCGAGCTGCCGGACTTCAAGAAATGTTGGGACAGTGCTCTCAGACAAGGGTCCAGTTTTGGGTGGTCCTGTGTGGAGCCAGGAGCTGGACTTCATGATCCTTGTGGGTCCCTTCCAACTCAGGATATTCTATGATTCTATCCTCTTTTTCTGTAATTTACAACTCAGGGACTTCCTATGCCAGACATCAATTTATTTGTATAGTTCTATATGGATTTTTTCTTCCATAGAAGTATGTAAATGTGTTTGGTATTTTTGTGTGTGTGTAGTTATTTGTTGTAATAGAGCGGTGCGTATTTTATAGCCTACATCTTGAGGCTGAAAAATTGCCAAAGAATGATACTTGCCATAAAATGGATAATTATCAGCCCAGCTGAAACACATCAGATCCTGCTCCAATCTGAAGACACTCTGGAAACAGAGTTTAGTAAAGTTTGGCACATGGGACAGGTCTTTGCTCACAAAGCAAAGCTTTTTACACTGAGAGGAAGAGGTCAGCTCCTGCTTCTGATATGAGAGACTATATTCATGCACACCTACAGATTTTGGGGCTTTCACCATCTGAATTTAAGAAAAAAACTGAAAAGTTCACTTTCCACAAGTGCATGCTTTGGCAGATATTGCATCAGCAGTTACTAATGCTACAGAAAATAGAACATTTTGGGAACAAAGCAGACTCAAAAACATCATGAAGAAAATAAGACACCTAATGGGAATGCAGTTATCATTCATCCTCCCTCCACTAGAGCAGATGATAGCGGAGGTGTTCTCCTGTGGAGGCACAAAAAGATGAGGGGGAGGAATGCCTACCATAGAAAGATACACTGCACAGAGAAAAGTCACAACTGTCTTTCTTCCCCTGGCAAGTGGAGACACACCATTAAACACACAAGGACACAAAGGAGTAAGAGACATCAGTGGAACAGCAAAACTTTGCATCCCAAACCAGCTGGATGTATTTAGGTTTATGTGTGATAAATAAACCCAGATCTATAGATTGAATCCCTGTTACCCTCCCATCTACCCTTCTATAAAGGCAGGTGTCAAGAAAAAAAAATTTGTCTCCTTCTACAATTAATGGGAAGAAGATGTCACCTTTCACAAGTAATTCAGAGCAGGAAACTCCAATGCATTTCAATTATATTCAATTCAGGAAAGAAACTGGCATCTCCAAATGAGATTCAAGCATCTTGAAAGATGCTGAATGAATCTCCTACTGACTGTATCTGTTCTCCTTGATGATGAATCTTGGACTTAGACATTTCAGTTTTGTTTCCTTTGCTGACATCTAAAAAGTAAATATCCATATTTACTAGTTTGGATCTAGTTGCCCACAACCTAAACTTAATGGAAACTCACTTTGAATTCAATGAATAGTATAATCATCTTCGGACCTTTTCCTTTTGCTCTAACAAAGACAGCTGGAATAGATTAGATAAAAGTGCCCATCACTTCCCATTGTGCAGAAGCAGTGCCCAAGATGTCTGTTTGAGATGCAGGCTTCTACACTGCAGGCATACAAAACCAGATGGACAGAATCCCAACCCTGAATAAAGTAAAATAAATCCCATCAGTAGGAGTCTATGTTCAGTTAATCCAGTACATGTGACCTTTAACCTTTTACAGTAATTAAACCCTAAAATGCAAAGAAAGACCAAATTCAATTGGGCTACCTGTGATCCTTAATGATTTTAGGCCTCTTTATAATTAATGAATCATTTACAGGAACAATAAACTGACAATAGCATTTTCCTTCATGAAAATAATACTAGCTTCAAAACAAAACTAACATTTGCAAGTGTGGAAACCAGCAGTGCTGTGTTATAAATAAAAAGGAGATCTCTTCCCCTGCAGATGCTTATTCTGTGCTGGGAACCATGAAATTTGTTCTCTTATCTTACTGAATCAGTCTCAACAGCCATAATTTTTTTTAGAGATACCCATAGTACAACCATTTTCACTCTAAATTTGATGTTTTAAAGATGGCTTTTATTTCACACTGTAATGTGACATGTATGGGTCTCGGTCCATCAATTACCAGATTGTAAAGGCAGTTTTCTCTTCCTCTCTTTCCTTCTTTCTCTCTCTCTCTTCCAAGTTTCCTGTCAGCTCCTTTTTCTCACCTGTCTATGTCCCTCCATATAGCAGCTATGCTTTCAATTTATCAACAACCCCACCAATATGAAAAGTGCTGAAAGTGCACTGCCCCATCATCCAGATTTTTAATGAAGGTATTAAGCAATATTTTTTCCCCAGTACCAAACCCCAAGGGTGTCCATTAATACACAACTACCAGTTGGACTTTGTGTCACTGAACATCACCCTGTGGTCCAGACATTTTTTCACAAGCTTTATCATCCACTCCTGCAGACCTTATTTCCTACATTTGACTGTGAGTTTACCATGGGAGATTGTTCCAAAAGCCTTACTATGGTGACAAACAACACCCACTGCTCTTCCCTTGTCACCTCATCACAGAAAGTAATCAGTTATTCAGCAGTATGCTCTACTGGCATTTCAATTGTTTTGTTTTTGATTTTGTGGAGAGAAAACAGTGCAAATAGAAGCCATAAAAATCAAAGCACCTGGATCTCCATTTGACGTCAGTCATGAATAACACTGCAATGTCAATAAAGCACAAAGCAGCATTTTCTTTTGCCTGCTGATAAAATATATCAAATGCATACAACCCTTGTAAGAAAAGACTTGTCATGTTTTCATTTCACTGCTTCAGAGCTGCAAGGGACAGCAAGGCACTCTAGCACAACTTTCTAGTGCTTCAAATTCTGTGTCCCTAGCTTGAGATGATGGGTAGGTGGTCAAAAATAAATGGGCAGCCTGGGTTGCAGTGCTTAGTTAGTTCAGTGAATTCCAGTGCACTGTGAGGATCTTTGCTTTTTATTTTATTTTCAGTATTTCTAGAGGTCAATACAGGAAGAAAGGCCACTGTTTGGTTCCATCTGTGCCACCTTGGAAACACAGAGCAACACTGTATTTATTTAATTGTTTGGATTTATAAGGAAAAAAAAAAAAAAAAAGAGAGAGAGAAAAAAAAAAAAAAGAAAAAAAAAAAAAAAAAAAAACAGACAGAAAGAAAATCTCTTCCATCTCTCCCAGTTCTGAAACAAGAACAGATCACAAAACCCAGGAAGCAGGAGCTGCCAGTCAGGCTATTTATTTGGGAGGTCTTAGTATGTCAAAAGGAATAAACATCCCTTATACCAACACTCTTTATTACTGGGTTATGCACAAGTCAAGCAGGCTTTGAAGAAAGAGATCTTTACTGAGGTGCTGAGCACTTGATATTAAATACTAACCTCTGTCTTGAGAGAAAATAGGAGTATTTGTGGGTTTGCTTCTGCACCCCTATAATATCATGAGATTAGACTCCCACTGGAGCGTAATATTCTTCCTTCATTTCCCACCGTCCATTTTTGTACCAGTAAATTGAACAACACCAGGACAAGAGCACAGGTGCAGGAATTCATTATCCCTGCTGTTAAAAAGCTAAAGGAGCCCTTAGCTGCTTTTGGCCCGGACCAACTAACAGTTTCCCAGATGGTTGGTTCCCCAGCATGGTTTGGGAGCCAGATCAGAGCAAGGAACTTCCCACCAAGCCCTGGATTATGGAAGGAATTGAATGACAGCCTGGTTTTCCAGCTGGCTTCAGGGCTCCACAACAGCTCCTGGCACTGGACAGTTTTCTAGTAGAGATACAAGAGTAAATGCTTTCCCGGTCAAATCAGAGCAAACCCAGCTTTCCCCACTCTGTTGTAATTCAAATGTTTTCCCTCTCTTCCTCCACTATTTTGGAAGAATTGGGATATTTTTCCCAGCATCTGAGTTTCTCAGTACCTTCACATAATGTTTCCTCTTTGTTTCAAAGAGAGGCTGCTGCTGCCTTTGAAGAAATTCAGAACTAATAGCACTGTCTGGCAAGGAGTGACAAGCTTGTATCATCAAAGACAAGAACATAAATCTTAACAACTTGCACCTAAGGAACTATCTCCCCCCTCCCCACAGATAAAGCTACAAGATAGAAGAGAGGCATGAAGATTTATTGGGAACAGAAAAGAGTGAATGAGGAATGAGAAAGAGGCTTAACAAGTCATAAATGAGTTTATGAAAGCAAGAAGTTTCCCTGTACCTGAATATGCACAGATAAAATCTGAGTCCTTAACCCTCCTAAGGTGGTTGACTGAGCTGTGTTTTCTCACCCTGGATCAAGGAGATCCTATTGCTATGACACTTGATGGTCTACCCAAGGTCACCTTCTTCCTTGCTCTGCTTCTTTGCCCAGTCCAGGTTTCTCTTGGGGATAAATCTCTTCCTCTCAGGTGTGATAAATGTAACCTGGGATCAGTTTAGGTCCCTGAAAGAAAGAATTTACAAAACTTAGAAACATCTCCAGGGTGGTAAGATCTAGATACATTTCTTGCTTTGTATGGAGACAAGCTGCCCTTTTCTCCTCTCTTCTTAGGAGGGGCAGGGCAGCCCTTGTACAGGGAAACATGGGCACTCTTAGTCCACCTGTACCAAGGTTCCTCTGTCTCTCTCAACATCCTTCAGCCTCTTCTCCCTGTTCTCCACTCTCCAGGCCTGCTAAGATACTCTCAGGGGAGTGTGGCAGCCATCTCAGTGTTAATTAATTTATTGGGGTCCATTAGATCAGTGCTTCAAGGGCAGGGAAAATTTGAAAATATGCATACAAATAACAAGAGATTTAAAAAGTTTACTGGAATCCCCTGCTGTTTTCCCTTTTTTCATCCCAGGTGGCTCCTCTTTGCTTGAGTATCTACATGTATATTTTTTTAATTCTAATGTTAATTATGTTGAACATCCCTACTCAAACAGACAAGGTGATCCCAAATGAGCTCTGAATTAAAGCATGAAAGTCTAGATTCTTCTTCCCAAAGGAACTCAGCTATTTCAGTAGATAGAAGATGGTCTCTGTTAATAACTATATCACCATTAACATTGGCTGTTTCAAAAATTGGACCATTCTTGCAGGCAGTGGGGTTGATTGGAGAAGAATTTGGTGCTGTAGAAGGGAATTTTATCCAAACTAAAAATATTTTTTTCTTTATAATCATCCAAAGTAGATGCAACTTCCACCTCAAGACTGACCTCATGTCACGGGGGAAAGAAAACAACCAGATAATACAATGACACTAAGTTCAGGTTGTTCTTCAAGGGAAAAGTGTCAGGAAATGCCCAGCTTGAGATGTTCACAGCAGAGAAGTCTACTTTGTGCTAAAATAAAAGAAAGCAATTTTTTTAATATTTTTGTGGAATTTGTGATCTGAAGTCCATAATAGATGAATGTAGAGAGTCACGGTGGCCATCAGTGCTAGCTTGCAGGTCCACATGAAGACTGAGTCAGGATTGGAAACAGTTTATTACAAACTAGGATTTTTAATCTTGTCCAAGAAATGCATTTGACTTTTTTTCTTAAATAAAAAAGCAATGACCATCTTCTCCCTGCCACCAAAGCTGTTTTTGCCTGTGTCCCATCTCCTGTAATTAGAGCAGACTTGCATAGTTTCATATGACATTGGACACCAATGGGGAGGGTGAAAAGCTTCAGGAAGAAGAACAAATATGAATGAGTATCTGAGAGTTTAATCATACAGAGTGTTGCAGCCCTCAAAAACTGTCACAAAAAAATGTAATCCACTCTCTTCACAGGCAAATGACTATAAGGTAACTATGCTGTCCTATTGGACTACTATTTTGAACATGAAGGTCATGCTGAACACATTAAGGGTTATTAAATGGGATGAAGTGAGTAAAAACCATCTACAGTAGTTAGTACTGATGAATACCCATTGCATGTTCCTAAAGAGGAAAGAAAACATTTTTTGTTTAATAGCTCACATAAAAACCTGTATAGCCTGATCAACATTTCTCCCATACAAATTTATAAATCTTCTCATTGTAAATGCTCTGGTAGATAGAGAAAAAAAGTCCTTCTTTCAGCTAATAAACTTGCATCAAGAAATGCAGTTCTAATAAATAAATAAATAAAACCAGATGTATGAATATAAATTGCTTTTTAAGTGCAAAATGAATCAGATTTTCTGAAGATGAAACCTGTATATGTGCTGAACCACGTTTGTGTTTTCTGTCCCATTTGCTCTGAATTTCAAGCTATAGGAAAGTTTCCTTTTTATTTCTAGTTCGTTGCAGTCCACTCACAGGTGGATACTATTCTGCACTTCTTCAGCAGTACATTTATGGCTATGAACTGAAAATAGAGGATTGTTATCATGCTCATTACTCTGTGTGTCTGTTTAATTATGCCACATTGGGCAGCTGGTCACTTTACAAAAAGACCAAAACTAACACTTTTTCTTTTATTCTTTTTCTTGTCAATACCAAGCCATTAATATTTGATTATGTATTTTCTTGTTTATTTATTTATTTATTTTAATTATGAGCCCCAGAAAATTAGTTTTTGTGCTCGACATGAAAAAAATTTAAGGTTACTTTTATAGCTTATGTGATTTTTCCAGGATTAGGCCTATAAAAAATAGATTTTACAATTATAATGAAAAATAGACAATTGTAGGGGGTTTGTGGCCCCACAGTAACAACAATTTGAGTGCCAAAATGTTATGTTCCATGCTGCTGTCCAGTCAAGATGGGAATCTCAGTACAGTTGTTATTTTCAGGCTATCACTATAATCATTATACAGCAATAGTAACAGAAAAAAACCTTTACTATAAAATCTTGCATACAATAGCAATAATAGAAGGGTCCTTAGTATAAATTCTTACATGGCAGTTTATCTGATATTGGTGAAGGATGAACTCACAAATATCCAGATCATGGCTCAGAATAAGAAGCTGGGAAACAGCATATGGATTAGGGCTGCTGAAACCAAGGTGGGGAAAAATGGAAAACTGGCTCCAAAGAAGTTAGAATTCAAAGGAGAGCAGAAATATGCTTGATATTCCCAGGCAGAGCTCTTCTGAAATGAAGGATGTTCCCAAAAGGTCTCAGTGACAGTAAGTGATGTCCCAGTTAATGCAAGGTGGGTCATTGGAATAAATACATAGCATCCTCTTCCTCCAAGGAAGCCATCCAATAAGTTTCTTGTATATTAAGCTTCTAGTTTTAGACCTGTCTTGGGTGTGTCCTCCTCTTTCCAGCACACATGCACGCATGAAACGGACTAACAAACATTCAGCATCATTCCGTCTACCTTCCAACTTGTTTTCTAAAGTCTATTTCAGTTTTAATAAGAATTGACTACAACTGACTGACTGGGTCACCTTCCATCCAAAATGCCATTTGTCCTAGGTCTTTCTATTTCCATGCCTGCACAATTCAGTGACATTTTGTTCCATCTGTCCATCTGGTTTACACACCTGTCTTCTCTTCCTCCAGGTACAGAAGCTGATGACTATGACAAATAACAGATTAGGTTGAAAAAATGTGCAGTCTTATTATTTCATCACACACACAATTTTTAAAGGTAAACGTCAATGCACTTCCAACTCACTTTTTATTTCTGCAGTAATGTTCCCCTGAAGATCTGCAAGGAGTGAAAGTCCAAGGGAAGATATAGAGAAGTCTATTGCTCAAGCTACCTGAAGCATGATAGCCACAAATAACTTGCAAAAGAATTGAATCACATCTTTCATTTTTTAAATCACAATCCCCAGTAGGTGACAGTCTGTTCAAAAAAAAAATAAACAATACAAAATAAAAAATTAAAAATTTACTGATTGTTAAGGAATGACAAGATTTTTTTCAGAATAAAACAAGTATTCAGTTTTGACAGAAAAAAAAATGTTTTTGTTTTTGTATTTTATGGTTTAAAATAAAGAGCAGAGACACAGCTTCCAAAGTGCAGTGCAAGAAGCTTCACAATATATATACAATATGCAAGTGGCTTTGCGTGGGAGAGAAAGACAGAGACAGAGAGACAAGGACAGGAAGAGAGAAAATGATTTAATCTAAGTTTTTCCCCAGCAGAATTTCATAGTAGATTATTTCATTAGTCCGTGGTCTCATGATCTATGGGCCTTTAGTTCCCCAAACTTTACTATGAGATAACAAACGTGATCCTCCCTGTGTCGATATTTTGCCTGAAGTTAGATAAAACATCAATATACGCAGAGGAGACCATACAAAGTATCTAACACATGAAAAAATGTGTGATATGCGTCCATCCCCTTCCTGTTCAGCTTTTTATTTAATGACATTTTTTATGTGAGTTTGGACAGCTCAGGGAAAAAAAAAAAAAAAAAAGCCTGCAGGAGACCTGCAATTCTAGGTGAGTTTCCTGAACTGGCTGATGACTGAGCACCCTCTTTTCACTGTGCCAGGATAGAAAAGGAGGGAATGTATTAAAGCTGTCTCTTACTAAAGGATGTTTATGAACTTGCCTGTCAGTAAAATTTTGCATCAATGTTTGCCTCGGCAGATGAGCCCAGGCTTTGGGAGACACGGATTCCTCTGACCTCATTTGGGTATCTAGAGGTTAGTTGTCTAGATCGTGGATTTAGGTCCTGCTGTTGTTAATGAAAATAGATCAGTAGAAGATGATTTTTCTATCCATAGATAAAAGATTTCTATGCACACAAGATGAATTGCTCTCTGGTGCCCAGTGAGCCAATCTTTCTGAAGGATCTCCAGCACAAAGTTGCAACCCCCTAAGCAGAGGTGCCAAAGAATGTCTGATAGGATCTTCCCTTAAAGCCTTCAAAGGTAGCTCCTGCGAGACATTGGCTATGTAAGAAATGAAGATATTTACTTCCAGCAGAACTGTTTCACTATTAGCCTAAAATTTAGGTTCAACTTGACTGCCTCAATTTGCTGGAGGTTTTCTGGCTGATTTGTAGACCTGATCTCTAGGAATCAAGTGGGGAAATCCACGTAAGAAAATTCATAACACCCATGCTTGCATTGTCCCTAGAAGAGGGGGATGTTTTCATGTCAATGCATATGAGGGAATGACAGATACGTGGGATCATCTCCAAATTCTCTGTGACAAAGTTATTTTGAAATGAAATTGATTTCTGGAAACTCATAAGTTAATTTTAGATCACATCTCCTAAGTATTTACTTTGGCTTAGGCGTAGATCTGTGTGTACAGAAAATATACCTAGAAAATTTCTCACAATGTCTCACAGCTACAGTTACAGGAAAACTAAGCCTAATCTTGACAGATATGGGGTTGATAAATTAAAGGAACCAACCTGACACTTTCAGCAGTTACTTAACAGGAGTATCTCGAGCCCTGATTCCACGACAAGGGGCTGCACCTTACAGACCTGTCTATAACTAGTGAGCTGTCTGACGAATGAAGAAAGGAAGGAAGAAATGGACAGTCCCAAGGCAAGCAAATAACATTTCCACATTGTCAGGTCAATGTCAGCACCTTGGTGACTCTTCCTCTCAATGCTGTGCTGAGTTAGTGGCTGGCACCCCACGGGTAGGATCAGCACATACATGTACATGCTGTCCCAGGAGCAGCTGAAGAACACTGTGTGGTACAAGTCTGAATGACTAAACAAGAGTTTGCGGGTCTCTGCTCAGAGGCAGCTTGTCCCTGGGGCTATATTCTGCTCATAAGTCAACCATAAAGTTCACCCACACCAGGCTGGGAACAAGATCAGGCCTTTTCTATTACATATTTAATGCTTCTCCAATTGTTGCTTATGAAAGATGATAACGTGCACCACCAAGAGAGCACTTTATCAGGAGCAAGGAACAGCACCAAGTGAAAGGAAAAAGTTGTTGAATAGAGCAGTCTATTGCCCCGATGCTGTAAAATTAATCTATAAGGATCACATTCAGCAATTGCTTTGCAATTACTGTAAACTCTGAGAAGACAAATCTTTGTCCTTAGCCTTTGTCATCCCAATGGAGTCACAGAAGCTTAGAAAAATAAGCTGGATAATACCTCAACAGGTGATCTAATACATTGCCCAGAGCCTTTGTTATTCAAACAAATAAAGTGTAATTTCTCCACTACAGGTGTTCTACAATTATTCTACTACAATTACCATTACAAAAAAAACCACTTTACCAGCATGGCAGTAACTAACAAATCAAAGGCTGTGCTATTCTCCGAGATCCTTTGATTTAAAACGTATTTCTATCTCCATTTTGCACCATGAAGTAGAGTGAAATTGTTATTACATCTTGCAGAAAATCTCATAGAGCCTTTCTATAAATCAGGTGAGAACTTTCTCTGCCCCACAAGGTCTGTGGTTAGGTGTTACCATTGCTCACTGCAATGTTCACTGGATGTTACCAGTGAGCATTGCTGTTGCACTGCCAGATTCAGAAAATTCACACCCTGGACTTGCAGTCGGGGCAGGAGATAGTACAAGACTTCTCTAACAACAACAAAGACATGTATGTGTGATCACATTAGGTGCTACGTAAAAGTTAAAAATGACCATAAATATTCTTCTTTATGCTAGGTCCCTCATCCTGCCATCAGATTTGACCCACAGTGAGGCAGATAGCAGCTACATGAAAGGAAGTGTGTTACCAGTAAAGGCATATGTCTATATGTCCCTTTACTCTAAGCAAACAGCAAAAACAATGCAAATTCTACACAAGTTTTCCAGGCAGCACACAGACCTATTGGTTTAGGAGTATTTTCTTTTGGATTTTTTTTTTAAACAGCTCAAGCAAAATTGCCTCCTGCATGGCTGAATGATGCATCACATCTTATGTCAGGTCACCTTTGAGGCAGTCGTTGCAATCAGGTTTTATCTGATAACATCAGAGCAGATGAGCCAGCTTACTGTACATACAGTAAAGGAAAGCTGCTAATAAAGATGCCTGACCTTGGGGACAAATTTGCTGAGCTCCACAATGGAGAAAGAAGTGCTATGTGTGCTGACAGTGAAGGTCCATCTTGTGATAAGCTAGACGTGACAGCAGACTAACAGAAAAATTAATTAGTAGCAGCTGAATTCTTATATGTGACCCAGTTTCAGGAAAAAAAATAGGAGTAAAAATGTTTTCTTTAAACAGCTTTCAACATCCTCAGCTTTCTCAACATTTCTGAATCTTCTCTGAAAAATAAGAAAGCAGATATAGGGGATGGTAGCATGCACACAGTAGTCTGTCAGTTTTGATTCAAAATACTGCAGAATACACCCCAATGTCCCACATTTAATAAGTAATAAAAAATATATATTTTCTGGTGGAAAGGTCATATTTTAAAAGCAATGTGGTAAATAAGAACAGGAACTGCACTGGAAAGTTACCCACAAAGGGTTTCCATAATGCAAGATTTCATTTAACTGGGGTCTCTTCCTGCTTCCCAGTACAGCCTAGCTCATTAAGATGTCACCTCTAGATCATCAGATCAAGGCATGCCAATTTCAAACATAGTTTTCTATCCTGCTTTATTGAACAATTCTTAAAACTGCTCTTTCTGTGTTTTTTGTTTGTTTGTTTGTTTTTTCCCCCTCACACTAAGGAAAACAGATTTCAGAAATGCAAGACCTACAACTGAAATCACTCTTCTCTATAAAATTCACATTTAATTATAGCTGAAGATCAATTCTTACATTTTTCCAAAGCTAAGAACAATCAGAAATACTGTAGCAGGAGGTATAGATAAACATAAGCCCACTGTAATTTGGTGTTTCTTGTCATTCTTGGATCTGAAATTTTGCTAAATGCTGCTACCAGACCAAAAATATAGCAGCATGGTTTGGATGTTTCCTATTTCTCTGCAGAAGCAAATGAAGTTAAGTAATTAGGAAAGATTCTATATCTTTAGCACTGGAAACTTGAGTATTCTCCTGATCTGCAGGTAACGTACATCTGGGAAAACGAAATGTGACTATGAAACTTTCATACATTGTTGATAAAACCTTTATTTAACATAGCTACTGTAATAAAAAATCATCTCCTAAGTTCTATTTGCTAGAGGACATATAGCTTCTCTATCATCCTTATAAAAACAGCTTCTTCCAATTCTGAGGGAATAAAACAGACACTTTAATAATAAATAATAAAACGGACACCAACAATAAAGCAGATGCAAGTAATAAGACAGATGCCAATAATAAACAACAAAAAAGTAAAGTGTTTTTCTATTGTTTGTAAAATATATAAATATATTAAAAATAACTGTAAATAAATAAATAAATAAGGTAAATAATAAGGGGACACTGTTGATATGTGTCTGGAAATTATTTACTTTTTGACACCAGATCTTGTAGATACTGGAAGCCTGGGATTACGTAGTATCAGAGCCAGTCAATGAAGAATTATTCTGTTTTGCATGAACTATTTATCTTTCATTATTTGGATTCATCTTGCAACAGACAAGAGAGACCTTTTGCATGAAAGCCCTTTATGTCATGAAGAAAAAGAAAGAGATCTGATCTTTCAGATTTACCAGTTCAGTAATCTAGGCACCCCAAATTCAGAGACCCCATACTCATTGCAACACTACCTGGTCCTTAGCATGGACTGCGGATGAGGTTTCCCTCAACATGTTAAGCTCCCATGAAAACTACGAAATATGATTTCTCTCTTCCTAGCAAAAGCTGCATCCTATTTAGGAGAAAATTTTCCTGGTGGAAGTTTTGTTAAGGTGCATACATTTCAGCACATCACTTACTAAATTTCATTATAGGTTTCAATTTATGGAATCTTTTCAATACTTAAGCTCTTGGTGTTGGGGGGGGGGGGGGGGGGTGGAGAAGGGAGGAAAAACAGAAAAAGATCCTATTAAGCTCTATTTGCTGTAACCAATGGTTGATTTTCCTGCAAGATTGTTACATGATGCTATTTCCATTTCTACAGCATTTAGCAGTACTGAAAATATTCATACACACCATACAGCTGATACAGCTCAATAATGAGAAGTCACTTTCTGCCTCACCCAATCTGTAGAAACCATCTAAGACATCCTCCACTCTTTATCTACCTTCCTTCCTTTCAGTTCACAGCTGAATTATATCACCAGATGCAATCACAGACATTGAATCACAGGATGCTAGATCATAGCATCCCTGTTTGCCTTTGCAGTTTAATATTTCAGCATGTTTCTCTTGTGCTGTACCTTCTGCCTCCAGGCACTGTGATCAAGCTGAATGTTGCCTGTGAGCAGGACTGAGCTGGCTCACCCCATCTGGGGACACTTTGTCTTTTAATGAGATGCCAAAACCACTGCTGGGATGGACTGGAGTGAACTGGGTGTGTTTAAGCCTAGAGAAGAGCTCTTGGTGTTTTCTTTCACTATGGAAAGGGTACAAATAGAGAAGTTGAAACGTGGCTGTTCTTATAAGTGTACAGTATAAGGGCAAGAAGCAATAGACACAAGTTACAGCAATGAAATTTCTGATTTCATACAAGGAAAATAAATCTCAAGTGCTAAAATACTAGGACAAGTGCCTAGAGAGTTCGTGAAATCTGAGTCCTTGGAGATATTCAGAACTTGAAAGCAAGAAAATCCTTGAGCAATCTGATCTAACTTTGAAGTCAGATCTGTTCTGAGCAGGAGGTCAAACTGGAGACCTGCAGAGGTCCCTTCCAGCCTGAATTATTCTGTGAACTTATTTGTTATTCTCTTCTATGACCCAGAACTTAATGAAAACCCTGAATCAGAGAGGTGCATTTAACATTAAATCAAGGTCATAAAGAAGCAGAAAAACTCAGAGGATGCTGCTTGTGTCCCACAGCTTCAACATGAAGAGCTCTTCATGCTTGCTCAACCTAAGACCAATCACTCCTGTACCATGAAGGGCAGCGAAGTCCAGATACAACTGCAACCCTCTTGTGGCACTTTTTTAAAGGAATGAAATATAAGCATATTAATCTTAAGAAACACTACAAGCCATGCAAATCAGGTTGCCCAAGGACAGTGCAAGCAATTTAGCGTATTTTAATCCCTGGTATGCTCTCCCAGCACCTACCCATTAGCTCATTCCTAAACCAAAGGTTATTTGTTTTATTTCAAGTCTTTCAGAACAATTGTTTTCTTTTGTTTGTTTGCTCAATTTTTAAACTCACAGGCTTTTTGCTGTCTACAGTATCTTCTGTTAAGTGATCCAGTAAAAGACACTGGATAATAAATAAATAATAAAACCTAGAATAGCACATCAACTCACAGTAATAGGTCTTGGTTGAGCTTTGCTGGGAAAGAATGCCCACCCACAGCAAGCACAGCAGATCCATAAGTACTTGAACAAAAGCAATTACAGACTTTTGACTAACTCGTGTAATTTTTTTTAAAGTTCAGTTAAAATAATAATAATAAAAAAAAAAAATCCAATTAATTTTGTTTCACCCAGAAGAAAGTGTGATATAACCTATGGAAAGTAATACTGTAATAAACCAATTTCAGCTGGCACAGCTGTGTCGATCTGGAAAATGTCAGATCGGTCAGAAAGCCCCAGGCAGGATGAGTGGTGTGCTTTGGATCCGCATGACTGCACAGTGACTTTCCTAAAATGGATCTGGAAGTTCCAGAATGAGTAAGATTGCCCACATTTTATGCAATTTTCTGCTGCTTCTGCTAAGAGATGTTTTTAAGTACTGCCTCCTTCTTTGTTCATAGTTCAGGTTTTGGGCTGAGCTCAAAGAGAAGTTGGTAGCATGTAGGTCATACAAAGCCCCACACTGTGCTCCCGTGCTACTGCAGCATGTTGGAGGAAAGGAAAGGGTCAAGAGTGAAGCCCCAGGTGGAAGCATGATGGTTAACACAATTTCTTAAGACTAAATCAAGTCACCAGCCAGGAAGTCTTCCCTGGATATCCACGTCTGGGCCCTTTCTTCAAGAAGAAGCAAAAATTGTATTAACACATCTTTGTGTTATCTCACCCCTCCCACCACCTCCTTTCCATTCTTACCATCACCTTCTCCATCAGTTTATGGAACCACTGCAAGCATCTTCCTCATCTGTCTCACCCTGTTTTGCAAGCAGACTTGTTTGACATTCCAACACCATCCATAGCATTTCCAGCTCAGGATCATCACCTGGCACTTGCTATCTGTTCTGACCAGCTCTGCTGGCTTGCAAATATCTAAAGTATCCTTTTTTGAGTGCCATATCCCCCTTCACATTGCTACAACAATTATTGCTAGCAAGTATTTCTTGCTACCACACTGGCCAGCAGCATCTGCGGATTAAACAAGGCATAAAGATTCCCAGGTCAGATGTTGCCTTCAATTCAGCAAAACTTTTCTCCCACTTCAGTAACAGACATTCCTGATTTTGGCTTGGACTTAATTCTGAATATTTTGAAATATTCACAAGGACTGTTTCTTATTAGAACTCCGTTGTTCTTACAGTATCTTCTGAACTTTTATTTCCTTGCTAGGTTTTCTATTTTCTATCATTCTTTTTGAAGGAGATGATCTCATTTCTGTTGCATTTTTTTTCTTTTCAGTGGTTAGATCTGATTGATTAGGCAAGTCAGACATTGGAAACTATCAAAACTGAGGACTCTAAAATAAAATAATGAGATAATATTGATCAGAAATATTTATAAACAGAAAAGATTGGACTTTTAAAAAATTGAGTGTAACAAAACTGTCAAGTAAAAGTATGTTTCTGCCAATTTGAAATTAATTACAAAGCTGCAGCTTTTATTTTATAACTGCCAAAGAGTTTCACAATGTGAAGAAGCACACAGGCACTTCCCAACAAATAAGAAACATTTTTTCTTTCATAGTTGTTTTGGAAATTGATTTCTTACAGGCTCAGGTGTAATTTGATAAATCTGCTGTTGCATCAATGAGCTACTGAAGCAGTAGGAGCCATGAGGCATAAAGAGCAATATGCTACCTTTGTTTACACCAGCTAAGATTTTTTGAAGACTTTTTCTCTAAACACATATTTTTGCCCGGTATTAATATATCGTTAACACCGCTGAAGTCAGCAGAGCAGCTTACACGTCTTGCTGCATATACAGCAAGGATAGTGAAGCAACAAAAACTTGCAGAAGGAAATTATATTTTTAGTTTGGTAAATGTTTTCAAAAAGCAAAACAGATAAATGAAAAATATCACTCCAGAACTGAGCACATGGTTGTGTGTTCCAAAGCAAGTGGGTCATTTAATTCAGCCTTTCTTGGAATTAACTCTTGATTCTGGAGACAAACAACAGGAGCTACCAGAGAAGTGTGGTGTGTGGCAGACGGAACCAGTTCAGAAGAAGCAAGAACAGACCAGCACTGACTGAGGGAGACACAACCTTTATTCCAGCTTATGAAAAATAGAAACCTTTGTCACCTTGGCAATCTTGGACATTAAAAGTGAAATATTAATTCCTCTATGCCTCTCCAGGTTACTTTTCTCCTAGCACAACTGCCTTCCCAGCAGAGACTGCTGAGATTTGTTATCAGTGGGTTGATAAAAATCTCACCCCTCCCTAACATAGCCAGCCTCTCATAACTTCGCAAGTGTAATCATTTCTAGAGTTTTGGCTCTCCAAAAAGTTATGTATATACAAAGAAATAATATATACTGAGAAAGAATGCAAGTAATTCTTCCAGAGCTTTTTTTCCTAAGACAACCTGAAATTACAGAATTTGTTACACTAATGTCCTCAAAGTTCATAGAAAAGTACTAAATCTGTCACAGCACAGATGCCATACTAGCAAGTCACTGACAGAGTAACTGCTTATGCTCTGAGTATGTCCTTCTACATGTGGAAATCAGTGAAGGCCTGAAGGCAACGTGGGCAGTACAAAGTGACGTGATAGAGCAATATCCCTCAGGGAACATGGGAACCTTAGACAAAATGTTGGTTACAGCAGGAGGGCATAAAAGAATTCCAAGAGGAATGAAATCCTGGAGTTGGAAGTTAACAGCATCAATGATCCTGGATCAAATAAGCGTAACCAGAGTTTTCTTTTTACTGAAATCACACTGTTTTTTAACTAGGAGTGAAGTAGGAGTAAGATGATGCTGATGTAAATATACCAACAACTAAAAAATAAAATAAAAAATAGGGCATTTCAAGCACAGCACAAATCTATAGGCAAAAATAACTGATAATTTTTGAATTTTCACTTTTAATTGGAATTAAAAGTTACTGATGATTTTGAAGAAGCTAGCAGCAAGACAAAGCCAGAGGCATCCTGATAAACTAAATGGATGTTTTCGTTCTAGAAAAAGGAATCAGCAAAGGTACAGATGTCATGAAAGAGCTGAAGATGGAAACATCCTGCATTTACTTGTAAAGCTTTAACTTCAAGGACTGCTGAACCTCCTAACGCCTTTCAGGATCATGCCCTCCATGTTTGCCTGGAGGCAAACATGGCAATCCCTATGCCTGTGGGATTTGCAAAAAAAAAGGAATTTTTACACTTGTCTAGGCTTCTAGGGAAAACAGAGTGGTCTATGAGCACTTAGAGGAGAAGACAAAAAATGTGATGGGGCTCTCACCCTCAATTTGTTGTGTCCAAACTTGGGAATCTGTGAATAGCAGATTTCACTGTCCTAGGACTGGGTGGTTTTTGGAAACAGAAGGCAGTAGAACATTAACTGGAAGTAAATGTTCTACCATGAGGGGCATCAACTTTGTTATCTGGTTTAAAACAAGATAGAAAAAAAAAAAAAAAGTTTTCACACAAGCTGTAATTATATAGAATTCATAATCCTCTTTGCAAACCCAGACTTACCTTTCACTTATTAGGTGCCTTGGGCAGAATTTAAGGAACCAGAAAAGTACAGAAAAAATGCTTTCTTACAGGAAAAAAACAAACAAACAAAAAAAAAATCTGAGCTATTATGATTATTTTTATTAAGAGAATTGAAGAGCTTGTATCAAGAGTTTTCTTTGTATTATATTTTTTATGGTAGTACTGATTATAATATTTAATAGATATAAGACTGATTTCTTCCTACACATACATTCAGAAGAATCAAACACCTCATCTTAGGCTTATAGGACTGTAGCCAT